AAATGGTTAGAACAAACACACACGCACACACACAAATATCCAAAAGGCTTTCAGGGGAAAGGGTCGGAATATGAGGCAACACCAAAACTAAGATGTTTCTGGTCTTGTTAAAAATACTGTGGACATCTATGACTGAGCAGAGAGCTTCCTTGGCTTGTTGTACTGTTTGAAGCTATTAACCAGCAGTCCATATCAATCCAAAAAATCACGCAGAAATGCTCTTCTTCTACCACATGCAATGTCTTATGTTTTAAAGCACAAGAGACTTCGATTTTAAATTGGTGAATTTGTTAAAGTTGTCACATAAGCAAACGGAAAATGGACCTGGTCTCTACCACACAGTAGTTTGTTGACATCTGATACAGAATGTAAAACCTAATGCTTAGGAATGTCCCTGTCTGCAATATTTCTCCATATAGAAGCAGAATTGCATGAGAGAAGGAGAAAGTCTCAAATGCATGAGAAAACTGGCTTAACTGGAGGAAGGGGGAAAAAAAAAAAAAAGCAAATAAATACCCATTCTCACTACTCCTGTCACCACAGATGTTTCAGGTACACATTGGGAGGTGATAATCTGAGATTTAGAATCTGTTACGTACAATTACCTGTCCAAGAAAAGGAAAAAAAAAATACTGGTGTTTACAATACATTTTCAGATGGTCACTATTTTGATATTATATAGAAGTTAAATTTTACAAAAAAAAAAAAATCTGTCTTGTGGAATACATAATTAAACCATAACTTCTGTTTTGTTGCAATAATGAACTTACTTTACAAAGCTGGAGACTGGCCTACAACTGCGGGGAATTTCACACTTCAGCTAACCACAGAAGCCTAACTCAGGGTAATGTTAGCAACACCAGAATAAAATGTTACGATAGAGACTATTTAAAGTTTATAAAATGTAACGGAATATATTAGAGAGGCACGTGGGCTTAATTTTCCATCCATGTTGATGTAACGCCTTAGACCTCCCCATCTCCTCTGCAACTGTACAAGAGAAGAACCAGGCCAGTGCACTGTACAGAAGGACACACAGTTTGGGCTGACTACTGAACCATTAGTAAATTAGAGTCTATTTAGACAAGGATTCAGTTCTGCTGAAGCCATTAGGACTTTAGTCTTTGCCATCCGTGGAAGATCATCTGAACATCAACTCTTGAAATCATCTGCAATTACCTGCTACAGAATGAGCAGACAAAAACACATTAAGACAAGCCCTGCTCTACATACATGCTTCCATGGCAAATCATTAGCAAAATCAATTTACATTATTAAATAGTTTAACATTATAACAAGACATATGGACTCATTTTTGAATAATGAGCAATAATAACAAATAAGTGTTCACCATCTTAAATGCAGATCAATACACATAGCGGTTAGATTAAGGGGTTTGTAGCAGTTAAACTGTGGGGATCTTCTGATTTCAATAGCACATGAAACAGAGGAATTCCATTGCATTTAACCTAATTAGTACATTAAAAGTGACGTAAGAAAAAGTCCAAAGACTACTTACGATTAAGCTGTTAGATATCTCAAGCAAGTGTAGGTTTAACTGCTTAGTTTTACAAAACCAAAAAAAAAAAAAAAAACAAAACAAACAAAAAAACTATTGCTTATGGCCTGAATACACATTCACACCTGTTGTTAGAGCTATTTCCAGCAACTGAACTGGTTTATCACAATAAGTGTTAATACTTTATTCCTTTTTCTGCTAATCCCATTTTCTGTTTTATTTTAACTGACTTCAAGATTGCTGCAAAGTTTAGGACCCTGTTGGGCTTTAAAGCTTATGTCAGTTTTTAACATTTTTATAACTTCAGCTCACATTGTGCTGGTTATTCTAAGACTCCATCTGAAACCCCTGCACTTTGATTAAACTCCAGTCTTTTGCTGAAGTAGAGTCAGAAAGAGGAAAAGCTAATTTATTATTTATTAATAATCAGACTCCTGGTTAATATGTAAATATATACCTATATTTTATCATTTGCACTAAGGGATCTGTTTAAAACTTTCAGTTATTAAGGTGGAGGCAACTTTTTTCAGCTCTGAACCAAAACTTTGTTTAACTTCATTTTTATTGAGCTCTTGAAGGAGCGTAGGTTCAGTTTCATTTTAACTATGAGCCTGTTGTGGCTTGTAGTGCAGCTCACAGCAGCACAACTGACCCCCAAATCCACATTTTGAAATTCAAGTAGATTTAGATTTGAGGCTTTAAATTATACACAAGGTGAAACTTTTTCCTTTCCTTTCCTTTTTTTTTTTTTTTTTTTTTTGAAAAGTGGGGACTTTTTCCAGTCCTCTCCTGTTACAATCTCTGGGCTATGTCAGCCTTTGAAGGCCTCTGTAGGATGGCAGGTTGCTGGATGACCCACTGCTCCTACTACTCCTTCTTGTGACCTTGCATTAAGAGTCCAACCCAACAAAATCCTGTCTTACCTTCTTTCATGATCCCTGGTCCGTCCAACTCATACCCTAGTCTCCGATGGCCTCTGGAAACGTGCATGTGCATTAGCTGTCGCACACAAGAAGCTGTGCTAGCAGTTCAAGCTACAGGATATGTCTTATACAATGTATCAAACCACAGATTTTTATCTGTGCAATATTATTAAATATCTCTCCCTGGGGTAGTATGAACCCAACAGAGTGCACTGATCTGGAGGATATTGAAATTATTTCCCTGTGATGAAAGTGGCCTTATATCTCACTTGGGGTTTCACTCTAGCAGCAAACCCCAGACTGATGAGGTCATTTCTTTAAGAAAAGTCTCATTGCAGCGACATTTGGAATAAGTGAAATAAAAGGTATTTTTTAGGAGTAATAACATTTTAATTCAACTACTTAAATCTAATGCTTCCAGCGCTATGACCATTAGTCCGTCAAGATTTCTACTGAAGTCAATGTTGAGCTTCCTTTGCAGAATACATACTCCCAATAATTTTTAAACATAAGTCAAATGATTTAGTTTTCATGGAAGATGAAAAACATGAAAGAAGGAGTTGATTTGTTTGTTAATTTAGAAAGCGGGCATGGGATAAGAACTTTCTGAAATGCAACAATTTAAGCATCGAGTCATCACGAGGGAGAAAAGCAGACCTCTGCCAGTGCATGTAACACTGTGTGTCTAGACCTGAGTGTGGTTCCACTCATTTACTTAAAGGCCAAGTTAGAGAAATGGGATTTTATGGACTGATAAAGATCCAGTAAGGAATAATTTGGCAAGTTCCGTAAGGTGACAGCATACGTTTCCAGCCAAGAATATTGAATACTCCAGGCTAAGGGTACTTTAAACTTAGCAGTTTAATACACCCCACATGTTCTTAGAGAAAACTAAATTGTCCTTAATATCAAGGCACCCCAAATGATGAGTCTCTTGTGAAATATCTGGCCTTAGTTTCACAGCAAAAAAAAAAAAAAAAAAATGACAGAATGTTCTATGCAGGTGCTCAGACATTGTACTACTGGTTAGTATCTTCAGCATAAGTCTCTCTGCTGATTAAAGCTCCTGGGCCATGAAATTCCCTCTGCCCCACAGCCATGTTTTTACAATATTTAGCACTCAGTGCTTAACACTATCAAAGCATTTTACGTATGCCATCTAATACCTTCCAATTAACTCATACATCTCCTATAAAAAAGAAATAAAATTAATGACATATGGTACTGCTGGCTTTTATATAATACATGCAAATTCGGCTTTAGGGGACAAACCTGGGTAAGCTGAGCTCCCCTCCTGAAACCCTCCCTGCACATTGCACGTTAGTGCTTCTCAGCAGAAAGGAAATGAGCAATGATGCAAATTGCATTCACGCAATTAGGGGCCAGGGACCAAACACACACGCAGACACCAGCGGGGCTGCAGGCGACCTGCAACTTGCAGCGCCCAAGTTCCCAGTGCCTTAATGAGCTGCACACCAATTACACGAGTTTCCCACAGGCTTTGCTCTCAAGGTCTGCAGAATGCATGAGAAACGGGTGAAGCCTGTCGTTTTGGTAGCCATCAAAGCTCCCTTCCATGCGAGGAAGTGCCTAATTTGTCATTTCACACTCAAAAAGGCGTGAAAGGCAAAAGGCAGGGAGGTTAGATGGAAGAGAGAAAAAGGGGGAGCGACTCATGAGAAGGCACAGTAAGCCTAATTTTGAGCTTGTGTTTGTTGCTGCAAATCAGGAATAAATTTGATGAAATCATACTGGTATAAAACAGGTAAGAATGAAGCCCAGTGTTTCTGCTTATATAAACTCTTAAAAGCCAAATATGAAACTAGGAACAAGGAACACTTTACAAATGAGATTCTGGTCTATAGCAAATTTCTAACTTACATATTTTATTTACACATGGACATCTTTTGTTTTATTTAATTATAATAAAAAGTATTAATTCCAACAATGCATTTTTTTTCAACTTAAAAATACATAAGACCTTTGGGGAAAAAATCCCAAAGAATACACACATCTGAGGAATGTCTGCTCTGTGTCAAGAGCACTGGTCTCAGGCGCTAAATATGTTTCCCTCATCGTCTTTTCTTTTAGCTTTGTTGTTGTCTTTTATTTTTCTTTCCCTCTGCATAAAATGAAGCTAGCAAAGGGACAGAGAAACAGTCAGGTTAAAACCTTTGGAGAGATAGGAGAGGTGCAGGCAGGAATCCCATTATTTGTTAATAGGATTTGTGCGCATACCTCCCACGCATCACTTAGGAAATTTACTCCCAAACATCTTGGTGGCAGTTTCAATTAGAGTCAACATTTCATTTCAGCAGATGGACTGCAAGCTGATGGCTTCTCAAACTCTGAAGGATAACACTCTATAATTTCCCACTTTTAAGGTATGATTATGCCGTCTTCCTTTTGTGGGGAAAAATGAATGTCGTTCCTAAGCCAATATTTGATTTTTTTTTTTTTTTGCTGAGCCTCTCCCTACTAGCAAACCCCACCCATGTGCCTTTATACAAGACAAATGGGTAAAAAAAGAATGGGGGGGAGCGCATTTTTCGGATCTGTCACACATTTCTACAGTGCTTCTTATTCAGAAAGATGCCAAAGAGCTACAAATACGTCTGCCCTCCTCTGAAATGCAGCCACCTCTGAGGGGGAACGTGGCAGCAAGTACTAACACGGGAACACGGACACTAAATCCTATGTGAAAATTATGCAAGAAGAAGTACAGAACACAACTCGTGTAGCCTCAGGCTATCCAGAAATTAGCTGAAGTGTACATCTTTTGTTCTTAATGAGAGCATTTGAAACTATTGCCTGGTGTGTGGTACTGTGATAGGGAACACTTCATTTGGTACTGTGTCCCATGATACAATCTTGTAACAGATTAATAGTGATTGTGAGTTATCTGATTTTGACAAGAAGCAATATTAATTCAGAGGCAAGATGCACAAAACCATAACACAGTATATTTTTTTTCTTTTCATGGAAAATGTCCTTGCTTTAAATAGAATTTCCAGACTACGTAGATGGTGGCCGGGCAGGCTCGTGGTGCCTCCGGTTTCGCTTTTTCTTCATCTCCTGCACGTGCTTCCACTTGGCCCCACCTTTGTTTCGCTGCCGCCGCTTCTCGCGGTGCCACATCTGCTCACAGTACTCGTCCAGGCTGAAGCTGGGGCTGCTCACGAGCTGGATGTAGTCCTTGTACCTCAGCCGCGACTCGGTGAGCAAATCCCTCACCCGGCCCTCCTCGTCCTCCGTCTTCTGGGTGCTTTCCATCTGCCCGTTCTCAATGACGTTCAAGTTCAACTTCACGATGGTGTGCACGAAGGTGTGCTCCTGGGCTTTGCAGTAGTAGGCTCCTGCATCCCGCCTCTGCAAGCTGCGGATCAGCAGCCCATGCTCCGTTTTGATGATCCTCTCATCGGCCTTTAGCTGCGTGGTGGGACAAAGAAGAACACGAGGTGTTAATTTTACTGGGAAAATCTCTAGGGCTCTCTTCAGCTGGTGGAGAGACATGGCCAGCACATGGCACATCCCACCCATGGGCTGCCAGCATGGATGGGGTGCGTGAAGCTCAGGTAGATGCCATGCAACCCCTCAATTTTGGAGTGGTGCTCCTAACTATAGCATCTCCATCAGTAGTGTTTCAGCATGCATTGGTGAAATACACATGCTGCACAGCTGAAAAGAACAAAATACAGGATGGTTGATTACATTCTCCATGGAACAGTATGCTTTTAGGGCCCACAAATCTCAGTAATTTTGTAATTCATGACGCATAGACTGTATTTCTTGAGGTATTTTTATTTCACCCAGCATATTTGGGTCTTTATATGCACATGAAGCACGTAGGCACCATTCCATTTCTAATAACTCCTACTCCTACTATCAAGTTTTCAAAATCACTTTCTTTGATTCTGATCTTCAACTTGGCTTTATAAAAGTGAAATGACTTTGACTCACTGGATTATGATTAAAAGCACCCAGTAAGACTAGAAGGCTACAACCCCACATGGTTCTTCAATTCTTTCATTATTTTGCCTTTAAGAACTGTGGAAAAAAAAAGTATTTACAGGAAAAGAATGTAAATGTATGGGGAAATGCAATGTGCTGGCAAAGAAAAAAAATAAAAAAGAGAGATTTCAAGTGAGGGCTGAAGTCTGTCAATGGAAAACTACACTTTGATTTACGAATGGGAATATTTCCAAAAATACAGCATAATATTTCTTGTTAAAATAAGGAACACCTTAAGAGTAATAGCACTGTCAGGTAAATTACATATCTATCTGGTGATCTGAAGATTTACAAAATAATCTAACTCCCAGAAAACAACCAAGACGAGCAGCAGACACCCAAATACTTTTGCAGCTGGAGCACCCAGAAGGTAAGCGATTTGCCAAAGCCCATGCAAAGATCGATAGCAGAGGTGGGAGTAGAAGTGAGGGCCCAAATTCCCAGTGTCTTCTTCTGACACCAGCCTTTGCTTGGAAATGATCCTATTCCAGCAGCAAGCTGCCACCTCGGGCCATGCTATGCTCTGCTGCCACGCAGAGGCTGCAGTGCCCAACAGCACTGAGACAGCCTGCAGTGCAGCTCCAGGAGCCCACATTAAAGCCAGTGCTTTAAATACAGCACCAGCACTGCTGGTGGCATTGCTATAATGTATAAAAACTCCAGCATAAGGCAGAGGGCTCAGTTTAAAAAGGGGGAAAGGAGGGGGCACAGAAACTCAGCGATGAATCTGGAAAATTTCCCAGGGTGCACATCTGACCCTGCAGCAAACTTCAGAGGAGGAAGAGCAGGGAGGCATAAAGATGCCTAAATTAGATTTATTCACAGTGGGTAAGCTACACACTGCTTCTTTATGTAAAAAATCTGCACACAATTCCCTCCTCGACTCCATGGGAAAAGATGCGTGCATGCAGTATGTGTGTGTGCATATGTGTATATACACATACTTTTTCTAAATATCTACATATAGTGTATATATATGATAAGATTCCATGGTAACTATTTTGTTATTACTAAATAATATAATAAACCATTCCTAGATCACTAGAGAAAGCAATACACACATAGATATATAAATAATACGTATAGAGAGAGGGGGTTTCTAGTTTAATACTATATCCACTATAAAACTCTAGAGTAAAGTACAGATAGCAGATAATAGATCCATTCCTCTGTATTACCATTGATCTGACTGTGTCAGAGACAGAAAATCCACAAATGCCACAATGCTACAAATCTCATGACAGGACATGGCTCTGGCAGCCCAGTTCTTTGGCCAAACACTATTTGGCTCCTGCCACCCGTTCACAGTGTGGGGTGCCCCTCAGCTTCAGCTTCTTTAATCATAAACTGGATATAATCATGTTTACTGGCACCAGCAGCATGAAATGCTGCTAATTTCAGCAAATTCCTGGAAAAATGGATTATCTCCTGACAACAGGTGCTACATGAGTACAAGCTAGTTTTGATTTACTACACTGCGTTTAAACCAGAGAACTCATGGTGGATACACAAGCACTTGCACAGACTATAGCAAGGGGACAGATAGAAAAGACCACTTCTCCATCTGCAGAAGCTACAGCAGAGAACAGTAGTTCTCAGTTTTAACAGCTTGTAACACTTTATTCAAAGCTAAACTCTCTGTACTTTTCTTATGATTGCAGTAAATGTAAGGGCACAGAAGTTATTAATGCATCCAAAGATAAGTAGCTATACGCGGAAACATGTCTAGGGCAGGTGTTTCCTTGTGGGGCTGGACTGCACAAAGACAGGGAGAGTGGGACCAGGTGGAAATACCCAGGTGGGAGTTTTGCTTGTCACCACCTGATGGGGAATCCCTTCTCTTCTGCCCAGGCTTCACGCCAAGGATGGCGAATCCCATGCATCAACACACGAGGAACTTGGGGAAAAGAAGGTTGGGAAGCAGCAACTGATTCCCAGACATTTGGGTTCCATAAAGTGCTACCAGAGCCCCGGTTCCCACATTGCCTGAGTGAGAGCGGGAGCAAGTTTGCCGAGCAGGGGGGCTCTGTGCAGTTGCACTCGTAGCATCTGCCGATGGGTAGCTCTGCCAGCGCTGGAGTCTAGAGCAGCTGGACAGCTGTGCACCTCCCACCCTTGGACACCCTCCAGCTGCTCCAAAAGGCCCCCACTAGCGCGCCGATGATTTTCCAGTGAAAGGACAGCAGGATAATGGCAGATCTCCAGCTGAAAAGACCTCCGGAGCCCAGCTCCCTGCAACTTGGAAGCATTCACTATTGTGCCTTCCCCTTCTGGTCTTAAACATGTTAACTAAGGCAGCTGCCCTCTCTGCCTGGGGTACCCCTGAGCAGGCTAACAGGGTAAATTGGTCATGTCCCTTAATCCCAGCCCATCACAACGTCTATTTTTAATGAAGCAGCACTCTTACAGAATGTCCCGTGCTAACCTTGGGTAATGATTTACGGGGACTGTCACCTCCTTCTTCTCTGTGGTTTCACTGTTGATTCCTTTTTTATCCTCTGGCAGGATGAAATTATGGCTCCGATTTCACACATATTGAGCAACACTTCATTATTGTTTTCCCTCCTCGCTTCTCTTTTTGGTATCCTGTTTATGTTGTTTTACCCACAGGTTAAGAATTCTTCCTGCCTTTCCTCTCTACTTGTTCCCCCACAGGGCTCTGGAGTTTCATAAACACCTGGCATTTCATTACTTGGTAGCAGATCTTTAACCTTTCTCTTGAATACTTAATGTGCTCTTTGGTTCCTGGACTATAGATGTAAAATATATTTTATTAAATTTTGGGGATGGTGAAAGACTGTGTTTAGGTAAAAGCATTATTTTATCTCTGTCAAATATGATTTTTTTTCAATATATCATAATCAATTATTCTCTTGTATGACAATTCTTAAACTATTTATAAATTGGGTAACAATTCAGAAAAACAAAAGCTTTAATTCATAAAAGGATACTGATATGTGTTTAAATCTGCGCATACCATAAAGACTAAACATTACTTTTCTTAGTGGAGAGGAACCAGATTTTGACCATATTTTATCAGATTTTTTTTTTTTAAATCACTGCAGTAATCACTTTAAGTTTGCATAACATACATTACATAAAACATGGGGCATGCCATAGATAGCAACAACATTTAACAACGGAAAAAGACTTTCATGTAAACCAAATACTTGATTTTCACAACCTGGTTTTAACCATGCAGGAAGAATAGGCCTTGCCAATAAGGATGGCAAATCTTTAAACAATCAGTAGGTTGGAAAACAACCAAGGATTTGAAAGCGCTGTGGCACCAGGTTAAGTCAATGCCTTTTGTCCTTTGCTAATGATGTGTTTAGATAGCTCCCTCTTTACAAATAATTCACATGTCAACTCTCACAGTTAAAACACTGCACCTGTCTGGGAGAAGAAAGTGGCTTCAAAGCCTGCCCTCCCTCATTAATCAACATGTGAAAAAATGCTAGAGGTAAAGCTGGGCTAATCAAGGGTTAGCTGCAAACCCTGAACAAATTGAGAGTGGGAGGAAGGAAAAGGGGGAGCATTTGCTGAGAATTTGCATTCATCTTTGTTTGTGCATTGTCTTTTTCTTCATCCCCACCATTTGACTGGAAATAAAGGTCAGTGTTTCTGTTGGAATTATTGTTATAGGTAATTTTGAGGCTTTTGTATGGGGAAAATAATCATTTAACTCCAACACAGCTGCAGAGTTATTTATTTCTCTCCTTTTCTCTCTCTTTTTTGTTTTTACTTTTTATTATTATTTACTAAGAAACTACAGGTGAAACTGTGAAGCTAATATCTCACTACAAGCTTATTTTTTAAGCTCCTATCCCCAATTATAGTCAGATAAAAGCAAAAAGAAAAATCACAAGGCATATCTCAACTCGGAGATACTTTTCTTTTCTCTACATTTTTCTAGAAAATTCAAAATATTATTCATATTTAATAATTTGACAATATCGGGGGAAAAAGGAGATAATAAAACAACAGTTCTAAGCCAATGAATCAGAGTAAAATAAAAGAGGAAAGCAGGAGAGCTGCATTTAGTTTCTAGGCTGCAGAATCAACTTCTTATTTTTACCTCTTCTCTTGCTCTCTTTCTCACTGACCCAAAGCTTCAGTGTGTGTCTGCAACACAAACACTGAACTGCACCCCTCTCATCAAGAGTCCTGCTGAGACTCACACTTGATGTATTTCCTCTTCCTCACTCGGCTCTCCTCCAACTCTCAGATTTTAAGGCTCACGCAGAATCTGTGACCTTTTATCACACGATGCTGCTGACCAGATGTTTATAACAAAGACAACCGTGGCCATCGTGACGCAAAAATGTCCAGCCACAACACAAAAGGGAAACTTTTGCTTCATTCACCAATGTACTCCCGATAAGGTTAAGTAAACGGGACAGAAGTCTAGGCTGGCCAAACTGAAAAACGCCTTCTAAGTCTGGCTAAAATGCAGAAAGGGAACAACAGCTCTTTGCTCTGATGGGGTGTGTGGGTCAGAATGTTGTGCCTAGCAAGGCACCTTTCCTAATCCTGTACTAAGCCTTCCAGGTGGGCATTAAGCTGGGCCTTCAGGAAAACACTGCCTGTGCTTGGGGGCAGGAGTTTGGGAAAAGAGCTACCAAAGGAGACACCAGAACATACCTCAGCCTTCCAGTGGATTCTTCCCCCCAACTATGAACAGAGCTAGAAGGAGCAAGATAGAAGACATAGGTGTCTATCCTGCATTTCAGACCATATGGCTTGTTCTGTACCCTGCAAGGGCACATGGCAGCTTGGTGAACCTGGGGGGCACAGGTGACTCGGTATAAAAGACTTGACATTAAGTAGAGCTGAATATATTAAAAATCCATTGGACACTCAAAAGAACGGTTTTGTGTTCACTAACGGCCCTGCATTTGCTTTTTTTTCCAGTCCTGACACCTATATACATAACACAACACACCGGAATTTTAGGAGAAATACACATCTGATTTTTAAGCTTCAGGAAGCTTCAGCACTTTAACACATTATGGACAAATGGCGTTCCAACTTTTTATATGATTTCCACTCCCAATAAAGCTCTGACTCCACTCAGTGACTAACCCTGCAAGCAGGGGAATAAATATGATCAATTGCGTGAGCACCATGAGATGCAAAAGCACTCGATATTCAATTCGTGACCTTAAAACAGCCCCAAACTGCAGGGAAATGTACTCCCACTGGCAGCCAAATGACCTGGTGACAGCTCCTGTGTCACAGGAGATCCTGTCCCATCCCACAGGTCGTTCTGGCTGGAAGTTGGAGTCTGAACCATGACCTGGTGGGTGAAATGTCAAAGGCATCCTGCTGGGCCAAATGCTTCCCATCTCCTCTGGATTTTGTCCTTTTTCCTTTCCTCAGGAAGCTGGACTGCATGTCACGGACAAGGCGTAACCATCTATTTGTGAAGTGAAGTTTAAAGATTTGCTGAGACGTTACAGTTACAGCTCTGGAACTAAAAGTCCATAACTTAAGTTCCAGGTGCAGAGTCATTTGCAGAGCATGGTATTGTCATCACTATAAGTTATACCTTGAAGACACGCACTGAAATAACGTACAGT